AGATTATTCAACCCATTATCTGATGACTTAAAATGGTAGGGTCCCTTTTGTATCTCTTGGATAAACAGTATCATGATGAATTATTTTGAGATTCAGTTTGGGATGATTCTAGGTAGAGTGAAACTTGAAAGTAATTGTGATGCTTCAGTTTGCCTGCAGATTTTTGTTTTTATTTTTTCCAATTTTCTACAGTTGTCTCACCCAGAAAATTTGACAACACTTTCTTTGTGGTGGTTTATTTTTATGTTTTCAGAGCATTCAACCTAGTGTTCAGGGAGTTAACACCTTTTTGTGTGTTTATTAATCAGCTAACATAATATTTAACTGATTACATAGTGACAGTCACACAATGATTGGCATAAAAAGGATTGTAAAGCATTGCAATTGACTTTTGGTAGCCATAAAACTCAGCTGCTTGGAGAGGAACATTGATACAACATGGAATTTCTCACTATCCATAGAAGTCATGAGCAGCAGAGGAAGTTTAGAAAGCCAGTTAATATGCTGAGTCAATTAAGAGACTTCCATAGCTTATCAATGGAGATCTGGGAGTAAAAGGCTTAACTGGGAAATAGCGCTCATTTAATGATGACACTTTAGAAGTGAAATATCTCTCTCTCAAATTATATTATTTAGGAAAATACTGGTTCCAATTAGGTATAAAGCATGCTATTTTAACACTGTCCTGGATTTGGTCAATAAGATCAATGGAGGGAACATAAGATACATAACAAACTTCCATTGGCCTTGTGCTAAAAATATAGACTGGAATTTCAGCAGGAAGGAATGAATAGAAATGATGAAAAAGATGCAGAGGGGCATTTTTTTTTTTTTTTTTTTTGGTTTGGGTGAATGTGTTTGCACAAACACACACACAATTTCACAAATAACAGAAAAATCTATTCATGTGAGATATATAAGATAGGAGATTGAAATCCATTCCTCAACTGAAATAGACACTTTGAAAAGGGGTTTGGAGAGAAGTCCTTTCTAATGGTATTATTATTTTGCTCATTTTATCAGACACCTTCAGATCCCCTTCCCTGCCTTCTTCGTGGGCCTCTTATATTAAAGTGAGCTTTCTTTAGGAAAGGCAGAAAAAAGAATTCAGTAAATGGCTTTGTTTCTTTTATAGCTGGTCATTTGGGATACTGCTATATGAGATGGTGACTCTAGGTAAGAGAAATCCCCATGTAGAGTGTATCTGTATGTAAATAAGCAAGTGTGTTTATCTGGGTGGTAAATGACATGCTATCAAAAGGGGTCTCAAGTGCAATCTTAAAAGTACTGGATTGATATAGAATCCAAACCTGATTTCCAAAAAAGTTTTGTAATGTGATTTCCTTCCATCCCTGTACCCTTCTTCTCTCTCCTCCTTCATCTTTTTCCCTTCCATCTTTCTTTCCTGCCTCCCTTCTTGGGATGTTTTAAGAGTCCAAATGATAGTTCCAAGAGTGACCTTGAATAAACAAAAATGTTATCTTTAGACTTACTGGTCCACTTGGCTGACTAACTGCATCACTTTCCTATTTGGAGAGTGGAGGGCAGGTATTATTTATCACTTTGCTTATTTTGTTATTTTACTAAAGACTCAGCACTCTCCTCAGTGATCAGTTTTTTTCTAAATAGTCATCTCTTTGCCAAAATTCTCTACTTGACCACCAGGGAGCAACTATACTGCATCTAGAAATCTTTCCTGGGCTAGCTCCTCTGCAGGCTGTCAGCCCAGGAGGATGGAGAGTAGCGTTAGTTCCAGTTCAGGTTCCAGAGTTTCCCTAAAACTCTCTTGCTACTCTCCTTTTTTCCATATGAACAGGGGCACCACCATATCCGGAAGTTCCTCCTACCAGCATCTTACAGCATCTCCAAAGAAGGAAAATCATGAAGAGACCCAGTAGTTGCACACACAACATGTAAGTGGCTTCTAAAGACCTACTCTTCTCTCATTCCAAATTTTTTTTGCTCCCCACCAATTATGCCCTTTTCGAAGTGCCATATATCTGTACTGGTATACAGATATGGACCAAACAAACATATATATATATATATATATATATATATATGTGTGTGTGTGTGTGTACAGACATATATCTCACACACACACACATATGTAGGTATGTGTATATCTGTGTTCACACCCATCTAATAAAAACTACATTAGGAATCTAAGTTTGATAAATTTAGCTATCTGGGAGACTCTGAAGTAGGTAAGAAGCAAACCAAATCCAGTGCAAGTGCAGTAGTGTTTTTTCTAAATGTCAGTCTTCTGGCTTCAGTTCTAATATAGCTGCCATAAAATCCATTGCACTGGAGTTACTTACTGTCTGTTATTAATATTTAACTTAAAAAAAATATTGACTGTTGCCCAGCTCTGCACATTTTAGAAGTCAACCAGAAGAAAAAGGGTAAGAAGAAATTAGGAAGACAGAATACCTAATATTGCCAGCACATAGAGACAGTTGTAAACCAATGTTGTAGTAAAATGGAACAATTAAAAATTATACACAGATTTCATAATCAATAAAGTACAAAAAGTATTGCTATAGAACATAAGAAAAGGTTAGAGTATAAGAAGGCAGGAGAGAAAATACGAACATATATTTCTATTAAAATTATTGTGGTATTCTAAAATAAAAATAAAGGGCCTCCCAGGTGGCGCAGCGGTTGAGCGCTGGGTTGCAAAGCTGCCTGCAGCCTCTGCAGCACCTGTTCCATCCCTGGCTGCTCCCCGGCCACCAGAGGAGGGTCCCACATGGCGCACAGACCTCTCCTGCCGCCCGCTGCTCCCCTCAGCAGTGTACCTCGGTCCTTCTGCCTGCTCTGCTCCCCGCTCTGGCTCTGGTGAATTCGCTCACCCTCCCGCGCTTCTGACTGTACCCAGTGCTTGTAAAATAAATAAAATAAATCTTTTAAAAAATAAAATAAAAGTAAAAACTATAAAGTGAAAGAAAATTATTGTGGTGGTGTAAATTTTTCAGCATTGAAAGGGTAAATTTCTGTACAATAAACAATTGTATCAAGCAAATTATGTTAAATTATATATATTATTTATTTTACTAGTAGATAAATTATAGCAATGGTCTGGAATGTTATAAGTTAGTAACATCCAGAAGTGAGGACACTTAACTTCTGAAAGAGTGTCTGGCAATAGAAGAAAAAGAAAAACTGTTCTGACATAATGGTTGTGGTTTGAGAAATATTCAGTCATTCCTAATACACAAGGCACCCTGTGGAAAAGATGACCATAAAAGACTTAGTATTAAGAAAATGAGAAAGAATATCATTCTCTGGAAATAACATGAGAGAGGGCAAGTGAGAAGTAGATGAGAAAAGTGCAGGGTTTTTGCTGAAGCTCCCCATACATTTGCCTGGCCAAGGAATTCATTTTCTTTGGTTTACTTTCAGGTATGGCCTTATGAAATCCTGCTGGCGCTGGAGTGAGGACAGCCGCCCTTCACTGAAGGAGCTATGCATGCGCCTAGAAACCGTCGCTCGAACAGCAAATGACAAGGCTGTGCTGCAAGTCCCAGAGCTGGTGGTGCCAGAAGTATATGCGGCTGTGGCAGGTGTCAGCATAGAGAACCTCTCCTACAGCTGCAGTGCCCTCTGAACATCTGGGCTAGACACATTTGTGGGGAATCATCTACTGCTGGAACCAATTCCTCCAAGAATGGAGAATAGACTTTCTAGTGAGACATAAAGGGAGAAATGGGACACAGATCCTGATCCTCTACCGCACATTTCCCTAGAAACCTGCAATGATGCCACATACCAGATATCCTCAAGCTGAGGAAGAGTTTCATTTCTGCTGTCCCAACCCTAAAGGCCTTGGGTGGGAGTTGTGGACAGTGTCACTTCCGAGGATGTTTTAGAATTCTGCAGTGTTTGTCAGGGCATGGCATAGATAAGCTGGACCTTCTACACTGTAGGCTAGTTTCCTCCTGAAATACGCTTTTATCTAGGCTATTGCTAGGTTCAGAGGAATTAGAATCAAATGAAGGAATAGAAAGCCAAGAAAAGGGTTGAAGAGAAAGAAAATTAAAAGCCCTAATCTCAGGAGTGCAGATGTGACTGAGGTCATCCTTCAGAGAAAAGGGAGAGGAAAGATGTGAAGTTCTGCAGTCCTGGCCCCTGCATACAGGGCTGGAGGAGAACAGTGAGGGAAAAGGATAGGGTTCCCCTAGGAACAGGTAATCTTTTATCAAAATCCGAGACAGGTAAACTATGCTGGCACTACTTTCAACTAGAAGCTGTGCTGGTCATTTCATGATGGGAAATACTCAACATGTACTGTTCGTCAGGCTAGCTCCCCGCTCTGTAAGACTAAGGACTTTGAACCTGGATGGTTGGTTAGATTGGTGATGAAACTGTGTGTATCTTATAAATAGGAAATGTGGAGTGCAAGCGAGAAGAGACCAAGCCTTTAAAAAGGTCCAGAAAGGATGGAATCTAAGCTGAAATGATGGTAGCTTCCAATTTCCAGCTATCCATCGATGTACTGTGAAACTTATTTCATTGAGTTAAAGTAGGCATTTCTGGTAACAGTTGCCAAGATACAATACAGAGAGTAAAAATAAATAAATGGAAGTTACCACCAGTAGAAAAACTCAAGAGATAATCTGCTTTGTCAGAAAAGGGATTCTTGCATGTAAAATAGGGGTAGGCCCCACCTAACAGGCTCGTTGTGAGGACTGAATGAGAGGGTATTTGTATAGGATCCTGCACACCATATGTGCCCATCCTACCCTAGAATCTTTCCTATCTTTTTTATTTAATATCTACTGTGCCAAGAAGAGAACTTCTGCTGTCAGTCACAATACAGAGCAGGATATGCCCGAGATGATGGTGCGGTTCAAGTGTCACGTGACTAACACGATGAAGTCACTATTTTTGTGTGAGTTTCTGGATGACAATAGTAACCCCCTACTATTTCAAAACATTATAGCATATCACAATGATAATTCAGTTAAATGTGGTGACTGATTTTTAAGAACACTCACTCTGGCTACTCTGTATAAGGCTGCTGCAGGCAAGTTGACTTGTGGTAGAAAATTCTGTAGAAGTTAGAATTCTGATGGAGTGATGATGCATCATCCAACAGAAGAATGATTCTTGCACCTGTGGAAATACCATGAGGCTAGTTAGGATTTAAATGGATGGTAGGTGGCAGTAGCAAAGGAGGCAAAGCAACTTGGCACAAAGTGATAAAAGTCCTAAGGATTCCATTGTTGCTTCTCAGTTGTTTAAGTCAAATTTAGAAAATATTGTTTAATTCAGGGATGCCTATTGTTCTGGCATCAAGGGGCTTTAATGCTACAGGTAAGGCATTAGGTGAAGCACCCAAAGTTAATCCATCCAAATCCAGTGCCATGAGTCTAAAGCACTTTGGGGACATCAGGCATCATCCTGCCATTGTTCCCCTCTCAGCAGTGCTGTCTCCTCCATGCCTGGTCTCCTGGCTCCATCCAGTCAGCTACTGTCTCCTGGTGCACTATCAAGTTATCACTGCAGCGTAAGTTCGATCCCGGCCAGGGAGCTGACTCACATGGCATAGCATATGTCTCCCCTTTTCTCCCCTCAGCAGTGTATTTCAGTAGATCCACCTGTTCTGCTCCCCACACTGTCTCTGGTGAATCTTCTCAATCCCTGCACCTCTGGCCTACACCCCAGTTCTTATATGCATAAATAAATATGAAAAAAAAGAACTGAAAATATATATTGTTTATTCAAATATTTTGAAGAATTGACTGGTAACATCTGCTGTGCCAGATAGTGTGCTAGATATCAGATAAAAGCAACAGCTTTTGATTAAGTCTAGAAATTGACACTTTATATACAGATATGTGTGGGAATTTGTTAACTACAAATTGTGGTAGGTGATATGAAGAAACATCATAGTAGTGGTTTTAGTTGAAGGGAACATAAAATGAGGACATCCATGAAGAGATGACATTTAAACTGAGACCTTAGGGATGGTCAGGTCAAAGATACAGTGAGTGGAGTCTTCCTGGATGACTATGTAAAAACTCAGAAGCAAGACAAAAGTATGGTTGTCTGAACAACTGCAAGGAGGCAATGCAGTGGAAGCACAATGAAATGGGAGGCACATATGAAATGAAGCATTTTTCCTTCATATAGTATTTTAGATATGTTTCAGTAGGAGGGAAAGAAGCAGACAATTGCTATTTTCAACGTCTACACATATTTTGTTGTATTTCTGTATATAGTTATGTTTAAGGAAACTGGGTCTTTCCCTTACTTGGCCAGGCTTTTTCCAAAAGGGGGATTATATTTCTGGCACCTTTGATCTATAAGTCAAATCAAGCATTTCCAAGCTAATGAATGGGAAAAAAATTCACAATTTAGTCAAGTTGAATCCAGATTAGGTCTTGTTTTATTGTTTTGTCTCCTCTCCCAAACTTGTTTTTTCATTCAATGCTTTATTGTTGAAAATCTTTCCAATATAGCTAGGAACAGAGCATACACCCTTCTGGGTACAGTTCTAAATGACATTTAATGCAGTTTAACTTAGAATAGTCTGAACCAGTAGTTCTCAAATTATGCTCAGGCATTTTTCATACTATAGTTAGGTATTTTGTTATTATTAGCCACAGAGACAAATACTGGAAGGTGTCACTTATATGTGGAATATAGAGAAATAAAACAAAGAGTTAGGTAAAACCAATAATAACAAACCCCAGAAATCTGACTCTGAAGGTAGACTAAGGCTACCAATGGGGTTGGGGGAAGGGCAAAAACAAAGTTAGGAGGTGCACAATGGACTCTGGTGGAGAACTATAGGTGTTTGGTGGTGGGTGTGGTGTGGTAACAACACCTGAAGGAGGAGATTCTATATCTCTAGAGCCCTAACAATAATGTAAAGTAGTGTTACCTCTTCTCTCTCTTCACTATTTTCCACCCTAAGCAAAAGTGTATGAAATGGCTCTCAAATAAATAGCTTCACTGTATAACATGGTAGCCTACAGCTAATGCAACTATTTAAATATTCATCTAAATTCATGCAAATTAGATAATATTTACACATAAAACATTCAGAATATTTTCACATCTCTTGAAGAGTACAAAGCACCAATACTTCATCCCTTTGCCATTCTTACTGTGATACAAGACATAGACATTTTGGTATTTTTGGGAGTCTAAATTTATGAAGGATTAAGTAAATATATTTTCATATTTCATCTTAAAAATATGCTAGGGAGGATTAGCCTTAAGCTTAGAAGTCTCTTTAGGGGATAAAGACAGCAATTGGCTTACAGATAAAGATCTGAACATCGTGCATCCAAAGTTTTGTTGACACTGTCACAGTTGTGGTATCTTTAGCTTTGCTTAGGTAGGCACGAAGATGAGCAATGGTGAATGTGCCAAGATCTGAAGGAAATGCATTAGGAACTCTAAAGATTTTGAATGAGGCTTCATACGAAAACTAAACCAAACCAAACAGATTACTGCTTGTATTTTCAAAGGTATGAAATACTGTGGCCAAGTTATTGTGAGTTATTTTTGAAGTACAGTAATCAACTTAACCCAGTTTGTGTGGAACTCTGCAGGTTTTAAATCTGACAGTCCCACATCCTGGGAAACTTTTCAATCCTGGGCAAACTGGAATAGCTAGTTACCCCAGTGGTAGACTTCTTACGTGTTTTTATAATGGCAGTATAGAGCAAGGGCTGAATAATTTTTATATTACTAGTTATGCATATAACTGTTCATTTAGATTTCTGTACCGATAGATACACAGTTGCTAATGTAGACTCAACATAACCTAGCCCAGTCTAACCAAAGTCCCTGTCATTTCACTTCTATGAACTTTATGTTCTACCTACTCTGAATTTGACTTGCCCAAATCATACATTTTCACACTGCCTTTGCTTGGGCTATTTTTTGCCTGAAATGCTTTTCCATCCCTCCCAACACATGCTTAACTTATCCACAAGGTCCAATTCAAACAGAACATCTTATTACAAGCCTCCTCTGAAATTCCTTTTAATCAACATTGCCTATTCTCCAGTAAAGTAATTGCTTCCTCTTCTGTACTATCAACACTAAAATAAATTCTTTCTTACAGGAATTGAGCCCTTGTGTTAATATTTGTGTATATGTTTGCTATCTTTGCAAACTTGAGCCAAAGCTAAGAGTTCCATCTTTTTATTACTGGTGTCAACCATTTCTGGAATACAGGAAGTGCTTGTTAAAACACAAATTTCATAAATAACAAAGCTTATTTTACACACATTTTCTCATTTGATCTCAACAATTCTGCGAGCTTGGCAAAGTTCATGGTAGTATATTCATTTGGTTGATACACAAGCTTAGAGAGAGTGATTCGACTAAGGTTAAGCAGAGATAAGCTTTTTCTACTAAATTCCATAGGTTTAAGGCCATTTAATAGACAGGATTGCTCTGTGTTAGTTAAAAAAAAGATGATCAATATTATTTGAAAAACAGACTGTGTTTCATACTTTGTAACCCTAATTTTCAATTTTTTTATCTGATAAGAAGTATGGGGTAAACATTTAAGGCAAATTTCCAAAATTCTATAGGCCACTAAAGGTTAACCCTTACTGAATGAATGAAGCATCTTACAAGTTTTTTTTTTTTTTTTTAAAGGAATTCATTCATACCATGACTGTCAGGGATTTTCAGTTTCAAAATACCATGTAAACTTGACTTCTTGTTTGATGTATTCTTTCTACTTCGACTCCTTTGCTATACGTTTGCAGCCTCTGCCTAACTCACAATCACGGGCCAAAGAAGAAAACCACATGTTAGGAATCTAGCTGGAAAGAAGGGTGGTATTCCAGTTCTATCCCTAATGCAGCGCTTCATTGTAACTCAACCACCAGTTACACTGTAAAAAAAAAAAAAAAAAAACCCACAAAAAAACAAAAAAAAAAATCACACCCACTCCTTAGATATCGCGAGACTTAAAATCACTATTGTAATAGCTACGGGCCAATCTTAGTTCTAAGCCCATAAACACGCTACTAGATTTCATTTTGCTGTGCTTTGCTACTATTGCATAATCCACTTAACTTTAAAAGTAATCGTTCCCGACCCTAGTAAAGTGAAGTTGGCGTGGCCGCCAGGGCCCCGCGACGCCATCTACTGGCTTCCCCCCCGCGCCCAGAGGCGACAGGGCGCGCGGCCAGTGACGCACTTACCCGGGCGACTGACGTCACTGCCGAGCGCCGGCGGCACGTTGGCCGGGCCTCCGCGGGCTTTTCCTGCGGTAAAAATGGCTATGGCCAGTGATTTCTACCTGCGCTACTACGTAGGGCACAAGGGCAAGTTTGGACACGAGTTTCTGGAGTTCGAGTTTCGGCCAGACGGTGAGCGGAGCTGGAGCCACCTGCGCGCTGCTGGGGAAGGGGCGTGAGGCCGAGAGGCCGCTGAGGAGGCGGGGTGGGCTTGCAAGTGTATCGTGGTCCTGAGGCCCCTGCTTGAGCCGAAGTTACTAGAGGCCTAAGAATGTAGGAGTCGTAAATTGGTCTTATGAGCCAAAGAGAATAAATCGGTGTAAATTAGTTCAGAAAAGCGAATCCTGCCAAGTACTGAAAAGTTAACCTGTAGTAAGCAGAATTCTAGAATTAGCGCACCAGAAGGGCCTTCCAGACCCTCCAGTTTATTGGTCAAATAGGTGAATATTTTAAAGAGCATCCCTACCAAGTTGTGGTCCAGTGAATGCTTAAAATCTCCCGGTCCATTATATTTATTCAGGGTATGCATATGAGGCAGCAGGTCTAAAAACTGTGAGCCTGTTTTGAAAGGGGGGGGCGGGTCTTCGACGTTTTGTAAAGTCAATAAAGTGATGTATTTTGGGTGCTTAAGTAAAGTTCAACTAATGTGCATCAGCACAAAAGAGGGGTGTGGTTAGTTCTACACGGAGTCGTGGAGAACTTCCTAGAGAAGGTGACAGATGAATCTTGAAATGAAAGTCGTATTTTCTTGGCTTCTGAAGGAAAAAAGCAGTCAAACTGCTGAGAGTAGCATGGACAGAGTGTGACGTGACAGTGCCTCCTGTCCATGTGGTGTGGCAAATTCTGTCTTTTGACAGATTTGATACACTTTAGAGAGTCCTATTATATATTGAGCTCTTCCTGAAACTAGGACAGTCCAACTACGTTGACCTTTTCTGAATGCTAATTACATGCTAGGCAGCATGGAAATACAAAAATTTGAGGGCACAGTTATGAGTATGACTTTAAATTTACCACAAGGGGCTGTCTCTCTCTCTCTCTTTTTTTTTTTTTTGGTGGGACCCTCACTGGTGTCCGGGGATCGAACTAGCGCTGGAGAGGCTGCGGGCAGCCTCGCAACCCAGCACTCAACCGCTGCGCCACCAGGGGAGGCCCAAAGCACTTCTCTCTCTTTTTTTTTTGTAAGGGGCTATGTTTTGATAGGCAACGGAGATGTGAAATTAAACATAGAGCTCTAGGGATATTAAATGCTGTGTCCATGCTGTAGGCAAAGTTTTGTGAGATCATGAAAGAAAAAGTAGGGGAGGGTCATATATTAGAAAAGAGATAGTGTCAGATGTTTCAGGCAGAACACAAGGTAATTGTGACCCAGCACTTTTCAAAATCCTTAATCACCTTATTCTTCCTCATTTCCCCCAGGTCTCTTCTAAATTTAAGGAACCAGTTTACTTGACGTCTTCATCTGTTCTTTCCTATGTGGCATTGTTCCTCAGTGTCTTTGCAGTGAACAACTTTCAGCTTGCCCATCACCTTTGGTTTGTCACATAAATGAAGTAGTCTCATATTATGAGGGCAATTTCCTGCTGGAACACATTCTTAGCCTTTTATCTGCCATTACATCATTCCACATCCTTTTATCAATGACAGTGATTCCTAAGGGATTCCCCTCATTAGGGTAACCTGTCATTTTAGAGGATCAGGACCACATGACACCTGTACCTGAGCAACTGACTAGCCATGAAGAAAAGCATCAGGAAGTACAAAAGTCATGATGGATGAAAATTAAATATAGATCAGCTAACAAGGTGGCCAGTGTTTATTCAGAAGCAGTACATAGTTGGTGTGCTTTCTAGTCACAGTTCTAAAATATTACCATTGCTACATTGTATACCTATATTCATTTGGAGGAAAATAATTAAAGGAACATTTGGGAGCAATGGGAAAGCATGAATGTTGGAAGAAGGTAGTTCTAGATCTGAATCTGCAACCCTAGACAAGTTACTTTTCTCATCTGTGAATAGGTGAAAGAATAAAAACTACGTTTCTGGTTGTTTTACAGATTAGATTAAATACTCTGGGTGAATCACTTTGTACCAATACGAACATATAACTTAAACTTTAAAAGAAATGTTCTGTTTTTGTATTCCCTGTTTACTTTATGATACAGTGTAAGAAAATGGGCTTTAAAAATGAACTTTCCAGGCCTCCCCGGTGGTGCAGCGGTTGAGCGCTGAGTTGCGAAGTTGCCCGCAGCCTCTGCAGCGCTGGTTCGATCCCCGGCTATTCCCTGGCCACCAGAGGAGGGTCCCACATGGCGCGCAGAACTTCTGACTGTACCCAGTACTTGCATAAATAAATAAATAAATCATCAAATCCTTTAAAAAAATGACCTTCCCATTATATTGATTTATTGATGTATTGAAGGCGTGAAGTATTTACAAATTATATCACATTTAAAAATTACATTGAAGGCACAGAATGTTAAAAAATTTGACTACAACTTACCAGCAAATATTTGAGTGTCCACATATCTAGCATTGATTGTATATTAAGTAGGAGGAAATACTAATAAAAGCATTAATATAAATTGGTCTTTACCTTCAACATTGCTTATGATGCCATTTCTTTTTTTCTTTTTAGTAGTTTTTGCTGTTATAGACTGAATTTTTTTCAATCTATATTTCAGAATAATTGATGTTTCTCACTCCACAGGAAAGCTTAGATATGCCAACAACAGCAATTATAAAAATGATGTCATGATCAGAAAAGAGGTAAGTTTTTCTGAATGTCTTAAGTTTTCACATTTAGCTCATTTTAGATATATGAAAGTATATCTAAGGCTGTTTTGCAAAGAAGCCAATTTATGATTGGAAAGGGATTCTAAGTTAGATTAGATATAATTGTAGCCTTTGAAATGTCAAAAGAAGAAATCTGAATACATTAAATTGTCCCTCATATGATCATATAATTTAATTCATTTTGTAACTTTGTCATTTTACACTGTTCACTAAAACTAATTGATAATCATGATTTTAACACAATAAGTATTTTAAGTGAAAAGCTCAAAAGTTAAAAGAGAAAGTCCAGTGCACTGTGACATCTATGTATATTGGTCTCTGTTCTCTTAGACTTTGTGTTGTCCCTTTAACCTCTTGGAGATATTTGCGTTTATGTTACAAAGGCAGAATAAAGGATTTTAAAAGGGGGTAGTGATGTGAAGAGGGAAAATATATTTTAAAGGAAAGGTAAGACTGAAGAAAAATCATAGGGAGGAATGACTCCCACCTAAAAGTTTTGGAATCAGAATTAAATTTTTCTGTGATACTCTGTTTGAATATTCAAAGTTTGTTAACTATGTTTCGTCATTACCTTCTGATTAGTGGGACAAAAAAGAGACTGAAATTTTTGTTGTAACTCTTTTTAGGCTTATGTACACAAGAGTGTAATGGAAGAACTGAAGAGAATTATTGATGACAGTGAAATTACAAAAGAAGATGATGCTTTATGGCCTCCCCCTGACAGGGTTGGCCGACAGGTTTCGTACTTAAAGATTCTTTGAAAGCATAAATATAATTGTTATACCTCTCCTTATTTATTTGGAATAAATCCTTAGGTTTTCCATTTGCTAGGCACCTGGTAAATGTTATTTTATTTTAATCACCCTTTTGCCACTTCCTAGTAGTAAAGAAGTCAAGGTAGCTCTAAACTTAGACATCTTTCTGAGCAGCCTTCTTCGTAGCCTTCCCAGCCAAAGTTAGGATGTTTTCATATGGTTATGAGTAGTTTCAATACTATGTTAACCATTTTATTTTATTTTATTATTTTATTATTTTTTATTTTTTTTAAAAAAGATTTATTTATTTATTTATACAGTCAGAAGCGCGGGAGGGTGAGAGAATTCACCAAAGCCAGAGCGGGGAGCAGAGCAGGCAGAAGGACCGAAGTACACTGCTGAGGGGAGCAGCAGGCAGCAGGAGAGGTCTGCGTGCCATGTGGGACCCTCCTCTGGTGGCCAGGGAGCAACCGGGGATTGAACCGGCTCTGCAGAAGCTGCGGGCAGCTTCTCAACCTAGCGCTCAACTGCTGTGCACCATGGAGGCCCCATGTTAACCATTTTAATGAGAAATAAGTACAAATATTTGTTAAATTTGCAGCAGGATTCTCATTGACTATAAAATATAATTTCTCCAAATTTATAACTTTGAAAATTCTTACTTTTATTTTTATTCCATTCAGGGCATTTAATTGGTTTCTTTGTTCAAACTGACCATTGCCTTTGCTTTTCATATCCCCTTCAGAATATTGATGTTTCTCAAAGGGCTTCTGAAGAACTAATGAAGCCTAAGTAGACCTAATTCACTCTAAAGCCACTTTGACTTCCTAATTGAATTTTCAACTCTTGGAGAAATGAGATACGACCCCTGGTGGAAGAAACATTTAATTTCACTTTTGTGTGTTTCTGAGGACTGTACTTTTTTTTTTTTATCACCTTTGACTAGAAGAAAATGTGGAGAAATCTAACATGCTGACACTATGTAGTAGTAACTTAACCTATTTAAAGAACCAGTATGTAGGAAACATTATTTAGCAAAGCAAAGGTAATAGTTAACAGTATTTTATACATTGTAAACACTTAACTTATATTTTTTTATGCATATATAAATACTAAAAAACAAAAAATAGCAGCAAACTTATGCTTTCTTTTAGATTCAGAGGCCCCAGTATTTTTATCTACCCACTTGATGATGCTTTTGTATGTTTTGGTTAATTGAGGGGGATTAGGTGTGTTCCAGAAATTGTCTGTTGGATCTTTAAATCAAAGATTTTATGATTTTTTCAGAACCTTAGTTAATTCTCCTTTATGTGTACATCATAAACTACTTAATAGGTCTTCTGATCAGAATTATTGCTAAGACTGTTTAATGGCCTCTGTTAATGTAATCTGAAAAAGAAATTACTGCAGACATAGCCTCTTCAGTATTGGTTTTAGATTTGCAGGTAAAGATCAAGAACGTTTATGCACTAACTGGGCACAGGAGGAACATTATGCTATGTTGTATTTGTTTTACTAATTGTTAATCTTAATCGTTTTGTGAAGTCAAAGAATAGTAGTCTTTCAGTCGTACAGTCCGGAATTCAAATGTCAGTACCATCATTTATTAGTGGTTATAAATACCAAAAAGTTTTTTAAACTATGTTTTATGATTCTTGGATTTCACACTTTTAAAATCAGGCTGATGTGTCTAGATGATAAGGGTACTTTTGGGATTTCAGAGAAAGTTTGTAAAAAACTCCCTGACAGCAAAACCTGACACACAGTAGATGCCAAAGTGATGCTATTATTATGCATTTCATTTGTTTGTAAGCTTACTTATTTACAAGTCTGCAGGAAAGGGTAAATGTGTTTATTATATTAAAAATAGGTTTGTACCTACATTATTTGTACATTGTGCTTCAAAGTGATACCTTTAGTTTTTATAAACATTGTAAGAAGCATTTGTGTATAAATCTCAAGTATATCATTCATTTCATAATATCATCTTTAGAGATTGGTCTTAATACTGGGGGCTCTTGAGCAGTTGATGAGATTTTTATTTTGCAGACAGTTTATAGTCTAACATCAAATTTTTTTCATTTTACCCTCCTCTATAACTGCTATAATTTGTGGCTACAATTGACATCTTTTGGTAGCAAGAATACAGCTATCTCTGGGATGCATTTTTGTATTAACTACATTTCTCTTACCTTTTTTTCAGGAGCTTGAAATTGTAATTGGAGACGAACACATTTCTTTTACCACATCAAAAATAGGGTCTCTTATTGATGTAAATCAGTCAAAGTGAGTATGTTAAAGTGTTTTGACTAAATTGACCTATTAGAAAGGTTCATTTTAGAATATTGCCAATTTGATAGCATGTTTTCAATGGTATATCAATTTATTATATAGAAGTAATTCCAATTTTTGTGCCATTAAATACTTGCTATCAAAGAAGTTAGCTGTACATTTTACTGATTGCCAAAAAAATTCTTAATCTAACTATGTAGAATGCTCAAATTTTATTATCTTTTTTTTTTTTTTAAGAGACCAGGATACTGTCACAAAATTTAAATAAAATCCACATTGGATTATATTAATTGGATTATATAGTGCTATATCCCATTATTCTTATCCTTGAGAAAGAAATGGAAAAAATATGCATGAGAGTTTTAAGTATGGTTTTAGCTACCAATATCTTAGTTCTATGACTATAACACTTCCCATTTGTCTTTGAAAAATCTGCTTCAGTATTTTCTTTGCACTGTGTTCTTTCAGAATGTCCTCATAGTGCTCTTTTTCCTATCACCCTAAATTGTAATAACTTACTTGTTTGCTTTATTGATTTGAATGTAAACTGTTCATAAAGACGGAACAGATATTTTTAAACTAATTTATTTTCCCATAGTGAGGATATGGCATTCATACCTCACTGGCTTTGTAAATTGATGGTTTCTGGAAAGCAATTTGATAACATGCATCTGAATATTTTTCATTCATCTTGGCCCTAGTTATTTCATTGATAAACATCTGTTCTGGGGAAATATTCTCAAATAATGAGAGGGCTTTATTATTCATGAGTATGTTCATTGAAGCCTTTTTATAATTGGGGAAAAATTCAGTTTAATTTAACAAGGGGAAATTGTTAAAATAATTAAAAATTATTTGTGAATGTATTTTCAATATAATGGAAAAATTAATGTTAAAAAAGAAACAGGGAATGATTTTAATTGTGGAAAAAAATAGAGGCACACCAAAATATTCATAGTTATTCCATGGGCAGTGATGTTGTATTTATGAGTATTATCTTTTTCTTTAAATATTTCAAATCTGAAATGAATGTTGAAAAAAATTCATATTATTTTCCCTATAGAAAAGATAGTTTGTAATTGATTATGTCCATTTTAGTTATCAGCAGATCCTTCCTTTCTCCTGAATTCCTTTAACTTCATTGTTTTAGGAACTAGCTTGTGACCTTCTGTTGTTTAATTCTTGAACACAAAAATAATTATTACCTTTTTAATTTTAGGGATCCTGAAGGCCTTCGAGTATTTTACTATTTGGTACAGGACCTGAAGTGTTTAGTTTTTAGCCTTATTGGATTACATTTCAAGATTAAACCCATCTAAATTATGTGTTTTTTGAAGTTGTTTTTATATTTAATTTTGGGATAGGTAAGGGAGGGTTTGTCATTTACAGTATTGGGGTTTTTATCAATGTGAACACTTTTGTATGCAAACTGAAAATACATAAAAAGGCTTAATGGTTAACTTCACTTGGGTCCAAGTGGGTTGGAGAGTCCCCACACACATTAAAGTCTGTAAATAAAAGCTGTCTTTTACTGAAATAAAAGATATTGAAGTCTGGTTGGAGAGTGTTTTATTTTACAGTAGGCTATGTTTTTGATTCACTTTAAAGGTAAAAAATTGTTCTAGTAGATACATTCTATGGCATAAACTCTTTCAGGTAGAAATATTGAATATATAGCCCACTTTCTGTTCATGAAAGTCAATTGTAGATCTTCCTTTATTTTTTCCAGAACTTAATGGGATTTAATGTTTTGGTGCTTATAGAAGGTATTTATAGAAGGCTTCGAAGTTTTTACATTTGTCAAACCCCACAGAGATTGTTTACATTTAAGTATTTTGGTATAAGCAGTGACATCCTAAAAGCTCACTAGTAAAGTCAGTATCCTAAGTTGGATTATCTGTTACTATGTCCTTATTTCACAATATATTTATTTTTTTGTGTCTGTGAGAACTAAACAGGTTTTCAGCTTTACAAATTGTTTAAAATTTAGACTTAAATATATACATATATATGGTGTGTGTATTGTATATACTGCATAGATGTTATTTTTTTTAACTTCTAATGAACACAGGTCCCATCCTTCTTTCCCAGTTCCCAGTTTTCTTATGAAAAATTTCAAACATAGAAAACTGTCGAAAGAATTGTAAAATGAACACCCATAGTCTATCTAGGGGCTATAATGTTTTTTTTAAACTGTAATAAGCCTGTTGTAATAAATCATGTCCTATTGTTGATTTTTCTCACTTAAGAATAGAATAATGTAATTGGTGCCAACTGGCCACCTTTTTTAAGTGCTGTTTAACTTTGATTAAATTTAGATAGCCACATGTGGCTTGGACTATCCTGTGGACAGTGTCACTCTAGAGCGTGGCTTGGTAGCCTGTGTGCCCTGAGTGCTTGCTGGTCCTTTATGCTGCTTAAAGATGCATGGTCCTTTATGCTGCTTAAAGATGCAAGGTTTGCGGTGGAAAGCCATCTCATCGCCATGGTGCAAGAGTATACTGTCATCGCCTTCAGGTCTGTTAATATAAAATAGTCTTTTCAGGATGTAGACTGGGATATAGAGTAGAAACTCAAGTTATAAGTCTCTTGGCCTTAGATGTCACCTTTTAGGAGAAAGGGAGAAACAATTGCTCTTTGAACTTTCTGTTGCCCATAATTTTTGGTTGCTCCTGAAAATAATCTTTATTCTTTGGCCCCCATGGAAAAAGGTGATTCATTTAAGACTGAGCAAGTTTGGGAAAAAGAGTTACAGGTTAAGAAGTCTTTAATAACTTTTTGTTCCCATTCTTGAATTGCTCTCAAGTGTTGATTTACTTATGTGCTGTCCCTACTATCTAGTTTTCTTACATTCAAATCAAGGTTGGAAAGTAGGCTATTGGGATAAATATTTTACATTGCCCCTGGTTTTCATATAACTTGTTTGAATTGGCTCTTAACTTGATTGTAAGCTACTGGTGGACAGTGATCATTAAAAGTTAAAGTTCAGGGCCTCCCTGGTGGTGCAAGTGGTTAAGTACCGCATTATGAAGCAGTCCATAGCCTCTGCAGCACAAGTTCGATCCCTGGCCGGCCAGGAAGCGCCCCACATGGCGCAGAAGACCAGACCTCTCTTGTCTCGCCCGCTGCTCCCTTCAGCAGTGTATTTCTGTCAATCTGCCTGTTCTGTTCCCCACTCTGTCTTTGGTGAGTCCTCTCAACTCCCATATCTCTGGCCTGTACCCCAGCTCTTATATGCATAAATAAATAAATCTTAAAAAAAAAAAAGTTCAGCTCTAGTTTTATGTGAAAATAGATTTTTATAGCACTTAGGTCAGCAAATATACATCCCCCCTGCTTCCCCATTACAACAAAGAGTTCTCTTGGCATTAATCAAATTCACTTTTCAGGTGTTGGTTGTGTGCACTTTCTTCTTTCCCCTTCATGGAATATATTACTTTTCATCCCCCATCAATCTTCCTTGTGTAGTGGGTGCTTTGTAAATTTGTTTTTTTTATAAAAAAAGATTATGCATGCAAGAACGGGGTACAGGCCAGAGTTGGGGGGGGGCGTGAGAGGATTCACCAGAGACAGAGCAGGGAATAGAACAGGAGGATTGACTGAAATACACTGCTGAGGGGAGCAGTGGGTGAGAAAGGAGAGGTCTGCTGCACCATGTGGGTCACCTCCTTGGCTGGGGATCCAACTCGTGCTGCAGTGGCTGCAGGTTGCTTCATAGTGCGTGTCTTAACCCCATGTCTTAACCCCTTGGCACAACCTGGGAGGCCTGCTTTGTAAATTTGTTGAACTGGTTGTCTTTGTATTTACTTCCTTCAAAAGATTTGTTTTTCTAACTTAGTCTGAGGTAGAAGAGATTTCTTTCTTTCCCTTTGGAAATCTTTCAGTAATCATGAATTTTGCATATGCACATACTCTTACCATAGCATCACATACTTGAACACAGTGGGGAAGAATGGTTTTTGGGTGTGGCCCATCTGTGGTCCTATTTCTCCTGTACAGTCTGAGTGGAGCACTTTGATTTTGTTCAATCAAAATGACAAATACAACATGGTAAAGAGGGTTTGTGAGAATGGGGTTGATCTGCTAGGCTCTACCATTCTGTTTTATTTATATTTTTATTTTGGGTTTTTAGGTTTTACACCTTTGCTGCTTGTAGTTAAGAGTGCAGGCAGATATTTCATTAGTATCAGACTGAATATTTATATGGACATTTTTGATATGAATATGAATGATAGCTGAGATTATTTTGTATAGCTTACATTACCTTTTTTTTTAAAGATTTATTTTCATTTATTTATGCATAAAAGAACTGGGGTCTAGGTCAGAGGTGTGGGGCGTGAGAGAATTCACCAGAGACAGTGGGGAGCAGAACAGGTAGATAGACTGATAAATACTGCTGAGGGGCGCAGTGGGCGAAACAGGAGAGGTTTGCTGGGCCATGTGGGTTAGCTCCCTGGCTGGAGATCAAACTAGTGTTATAATGGCTGGTGATAGCTTGATAGCATTGAGATTTAACCCCTGCTCCACCAGGGAGGCCCCTACATTACTTTTGATTTGAAATGTGTGAGACCTGTAAATGTGAGTTGTGTACTGAGTTCTACCCCTGATCTGTATGATTTTTTTTTAAAAGACTACTTTTAGAGCAGTTTTAGGTTCATAGCAAAATTGAGAGGAAGGTACAATTTTCCCATATAGGCCCTTACCCTCACATGTGCATGGCCTCCCCCATTGTCAACATTTCCTAGCAAGTGGTTACATTTATTACATCCATGTTTACATAAGCATTCACTCTTGAAGTTGTCCCTATGCGTTTGGCGCTTGTATAATACCTTCTTTCCCTCACATAGTATCCTACAGAATTCACTACTCTAAAAATCCTCTGTGTTCATAACTCATTTTTTCTATCTCTAACCCTGGCAACCACTGATCTTGTTAAAACTATCCATAGTTTCCTCTGTTCCATAATGTTGACATAGTTTAATTCATACCTATATGATGATCATGCATACATCAGATTCCATATGTGGAATCACATAGCCTTTTCAGGTTTTCTTTTACTTAGTAACATACATGTAAGTTTCCTCCTTTTTATGACTCAATAGCTCATTTCTTCTTATTTTTTTAAGATTTATTTATGCATACGAGAGCTGGGGTATAGGCCAAAGGTATGAGGTAGGGGGTGTGACAGGATTCACCAGAGACAGAGTGGGGAGCAGAACAGGCAGATCTACTGAAATACACTGCTAAGGGGAGCAGCAGCGGGTGAGACAGGAGAGGTCTGCTGTACCATGTGGGTTAGTTCCTTGGCCAGGACCAAACTTATGCAGCTTCTTAGTGCTGAGACTTAACCCTTTGCACCACCAGGGATGCCCAATAGTTCATTTCTTTTTAAAGCTGAATAATATTCCATTGGATGTACCACAGTTTATTTAGCTATTAAAGCATATCTGTTGCTTTCAAATTTTGGCAATCATGAATAAAGTGCTATAAACACCCATGTGCATATTTTGGGGTGGATATTGTTCATTACTTAATAACTGGATTCCTAACATTTTTGTGAAATCATTTAAAAAAAAGGTAGGGCCTCCCCTGGTGGCGCAGTAGTTGAGCAGAGCGCTGCGCTGTGAAGCTGCCCTCAGCCTCTGCAGTGCTGGTTCGATCCCCGGCCACTGGCGAGGGTCCCACATGGCCCGCAGACCTCTCCTGCCGCCCGCTGTTCCCCTCAGCAGTGTACTTCGGTCCTTCTGTCTGTTCTGCTCCCTGTGCTGGCTCTGGTGAATTCTCTCACCCTCCTGTGCTTCTGACTATACCCAGTGCTTGTATAAATAAATAAATAAATAAATCTTTAAAAAAAAATTAAAAAAAGGTAAATGAAATGAGGGTGAGCTTAAAGTCTTGTAATTTAGTAGAGAGAACAATGATTGAAGAATCAAAATTCTTTTTTTTAAAGATTTATTTATTTATACAAGAACCTGGGTACAAGCCAGATGTGTGGGAGGGTGAGAGGATTCACCAAAGACAGTGGGGAACAGAACAGGCAGACTGACGAAATACACTGCTGAGGGGAGCAGTGGGTGCGACAGGAGAGGTCTGCAGTGCCATGTGGGACCCTCGCCTGCCTGCCGGGATTGAACCAGTGCTGCAGAGGCTGCGGACAGCTTCACAGCACGGCGCTACCCACCTTCGCCACCAGGGGAGGCCCTGAAGAATCAAAATTCTTAATACATGGCACTACAACACAGAATGACCCTTTCAGCCTGTGAATAGACTGTTCTTAGTGGCACTGAGCCCAGATAGTCGTCTGAAGTGGTATTTTTGGTTTTTTTATGCTTGGTTATTTATTTCCTAAGGTCACTCAGTTACTGAGAAATTGGAGGGAGGATAGATACTGTTTGAGTGATTGCTAGACACCAACCATCTGGGACGATCTGGAGGATTTAAACCACAGCATTAAAATAGCCTTTATTATAATTTAATGAAAAGAAGGACAAATGAATTAGTTAATTAGGGCAACAGGAAACCTCAAACCAGGTCTTCTGAGTTTTTACTGTAAGAGCCAGGAAATTTAGTATTGCTCATTGGCTTTTTGGTTAGGCATTAGGACATGTGACCATGTGCATGGGAACCTGGTCAGGTGAAATTATTCTTCCCAGTGGAGACATGCAGACCACCTCTTCTGGGATTTCGTGTTGTTACAGAATTACTTCACTTAAGCCTAGGACAGGAAGGACAGTAGACTTGTACAATAAGACATTGAGGTTTAAAGGTGTGACTGGAAAGCTTGAAGGTATGACTAGAAGCTGCGTGTTAAGCTCTAACTGACCAAGTTAATAATGTCAGGAAGGAATGGGTAAAGGGTGTGATTTCCCAAGTGAAACAAGACTTTGTAGCAAAGCAGCCAGGAAGTAAACAAATGAATGTTCTATATATTCATATTGTGTTTTGTGTTACGTGTATTTTGTACAAAAATGAATTCAGCAAAGTACAAGAACCAAAAATATTCTTTAAATTTCTCTCCTTTTTCTTAACCAGTTGTGATAGATGAAGTTTGTTGGTTCCAGTCTTGTGCTTTGATTTAAGACCCATGCTAGGTTTTCTGTTAGTCGCATCTGAAACTACTGCTGTTACCTGCTGATGTTGGTTGTCTTCACTTAGGAAGAAATTTACCTTGTCTAGAAGTTTAGAGCTTTGTTAAAAAAAAAAAAGACCAAAAAAAAAAAAAAAAAAAACCAACAATAAAGAAAACCACCCTACAATTCAGATGAAGCAGTTGCACAGTTTGGTTTCTCAATCTCATCTTTTTCTTTAAATCTGAAAAAAAGTAATTTTGTTTTTTTTTGTGGCCAGGTTCTCATGATTACATTGTTTATTGAGTGCACAAACAAGACAGACCTACCCTTTAGAATCTATATAGCGGAGACAGACTGCTATATAAGTATAAAAATGTCTAGGCCCTTCTGAAACCATTGTCCACCTGTGCTTTTCCTGTTCAGGCAGATCGGATTTATTAAAAAATATATACTATTCAACCATTTAAATGATCCAATTCAGTGTTTTTTAGTATTTCTTAGCATTGGGCAGCTATTAACAATTTTAGAGCGTTTTTGGAGCCCCCTTTCAAAAAAATTAAGAAAACCTGTATCCGTTAGCTGCTGCTCCACAATCTGTTGGGTCTTATGGTAAGTCTGTAACATTTTGAAGAGCCTTCTTCAAATTGTTTCCAAATTGATGCACCAATTTACATTCCCACCAGTTACATGAAACTTCTAGTTTCTCCTTATCTTTACCAATACTTGTTATTGTCTTCTCCCCTCTCACCCCCAGTCTGCCTGCTGTGTTTGAAGTAGTGTATCATCTGTGGATTTGATTTACATTTTCCTCCTTAATGATTAAGCATCTTTTCATTCATTCATTGGCCATTTATATACTTCCTTTGACAAAATTTCCATTTATTTTAATTAATTTTTTGTTGCTGTTTGCCAATCTCTAAAATAGCAATAAAACTGGTAACTTCCTAAGAGTTAATTATGAGGATTAAAAGAATTATATACAAAAGGTTTTGAGAAGCAATTGACACATTGTTAATTCTCCTTTAACACTAGTTATTATTGTTATCACAAGAATTTATTAATGTACTTACTGCCTCCTAGTCAGGCCATTATAAACATGGGTCAAGAATTAGTGATAATGTTTCCTTTGGCAAGTCAATAAAGCTTTTAACATTAGTTTCTTTATTTGTAAAATGGGAAAAATAAAAAATAGTTGTTAGCACTGGGAAGTTTCAGTGTGGTTACTTCTCTTAATGATAGTGTCTCTGCCCCCTTCCCAGCAACCGTTACTACTTTTCCCATCCTGCTGCCTTTCTCCCAGCAGAGCTTCTTTTATTTACTTTTGCCATTGGAATAGAAGACTAAGGATCTTTCTCTGTTTTGAGGATGACAAAACCACTCCAGGATTAGGGTGAAGAGAGACGAGAATGCCTAATAGTAAGTATTCCTGAAGTGTCTAGACTCCCCCCATGAAATTGCTGAAATGTTACTGAATTAAATTAGTCTCTGAGAAGTATTATAACTGCCTGCACATGATGACAAGACCTCAGTGGTGATTCAGAGATTAAGGATTACATTTGGGGGCAGAGTAGGCAACTTGAGGCCTAAACAGTCCAGGTTGAGGCCCAACCTAGATTGGTTTCTGGTGGCCAGATGTTCCGTAGACTATTTTTTTAAAGTAATTTGGAGGAGAAGTGAGAGATGTGAATAAGGTGAATAATGGGCAAGTTGTCTACAGTATGATTTAGTGATGATAAGAAAAGAATAGGCAAAGAATTTGGTCAGAGCCTGGTGAAATAGGAGTGAGTTGTCTTTCTATTATCAATTGCCCCTTCAGTTCCTTACCTCACTCTTTCCCCATACATCCTATTAACCACTAGTACCTAACTGGGTGAACAATTTAAATTATGTCATAGAACTGTATGTCAGAAGATTGGCTAGGCCTGAGTCAAGTGAAAGTAAACTGCGATGAGAGGTACAGGTATATTCTGACAGGAATCTGGTTCATAGAAACCAGTTTTAGAAAAGATTTATTTTAGCTGATAGGTTGTAAATCTTATGAAGTATGATTCATGAACAAACTCAGAGAATAATTCAGTATTCTTTAAAAATAATTTTTTCACATTTGTTGGAGTATAAATGGGAAAAACCTTTATGGAGGCTATTTGGTTCTTTAATTTATCTTGTAAGTCTATACTGGGAAGTTTTTCTTAAGAAAACATTCAGAAGTACAGGCCATATGATTTTTATGCTAGCAGAATATTGGAAACAACTTAAATGTCTAACATACTATAAAATAATGGTATAATCCATGTGGGTAGTAACTCTAGTTTGTTTTTTTTTTAAAGATTTATTTATTTATTTATACAAGCACTGGGTAGTCAGAAGTGCGGGAGGGTGAGAGAATTCACCAGAGCCAGAGGGGAGAGTAGAGCAGGCAGATTGATGAGGCACCCTGCTGAGGGAGCAGTGGGCGGCAGGAGAGGTCTGTGTGCCATGTGGGACCCTAATCTGGCAGCTGAAGATTGAATTGGCGCTGCAGAGGCTGCGGGCAGCTTTGCAGCCCAGTGCTCAACTGCTGCGCCACCAGGGGAGGCCCAGTAACTCTAGTTTTTAAAATCACTTTTTTGATGAATATTTTTTTAAATGAGGAAACATTTATTAGAAAATAATAAATCAAAATCACGGTGTATGAATGATGTCAACTTTGATGGTGAACATAATGTATAGATAAGAAATTTCTAGAAGAGTATATACCATGGTTTTAATAGTGGAATTCTGGATGTTGTAAATAATTTCTAAAATATACTTATCTTCAGTAAACAAAATTAGAAAAAAATTTAAATAGTAACATATAAAAGAAAGTTTCTAATAAATTACTTAAAGAACTTAGTCAAGTTCTTTCTTTGTATATATGCAGATATATATATATGTGTATATATATATGTGTATATATATATATATATATAAACATTTTGGTCATTTGTTTTTACTGGTAGTTTCTTTAAAGTATACTAGTTTTTTTCATTTTCAAACTCATTTTTCCTTTTATTTTAATCTTATTCTAAGTATAATTTGTTCTTTAACTTTTATATTTAGACTATACTATTTTTTTTTGAGGTAATGATGGTTTACAAAGTGGTATAGGTTCACACCTCTTCGGATATATGTTATCACACTACACCCACTCCCAAAACACCACTACTCCTCCATCAGGGTCTCTTGGGTGCCCTCCCTCATGGCTTCTCTGCTGTCGTAACAATCTGGTGGCCCAATTCTGCAGTCAGATTTCTGGGGTTTCTTTTATATTATATTATATCTATATCTATTATATTATGTTCCTTTGTTTTGTTTCTCTACATTCCACGTGAGTGAAATCATCTGGTATTTGTCGTTATTCTTCTGATTTTATTAAGTATGCTATTTTTTTGTGAAAAATTAGTTCTTGTTTTCCCCAAGTCTTTTCAGTTCTCAAAAAATGGATTTGAACACTTATTTTGAAAGAGCACCAAGTGATTGGTTACTGGAAATGGAAGAAGATAGAGCATGTGACTATCAGTCTTTATTGTGCAATTTCCTTTTATCACTTTGGTCAAGAGGAGGGGCAGAAAATTTTGAGTTGTAGTTCCTTTGAGAGACAGTTTATTTCTGCCTTCCATCTTACAGACCGTCATACACCCAAGGGATCCAGGATTGAAAGGTCAAATTCTTCCACCTAATTTTTGGGTCAACCTGCATCACTGCATGACGCAGATACAGGTAATATCTGCTTTTTTCCATCAGGTCTTGGCACCTGAGTATTTTATTGGTCCTAATTACAAAGATTCTAGGAAAGAAGGATGGTAAGAAGATGGCATTTTATTACAAATGACATGAATAATGGATTGATAGGAAAGCCTTCTATATTGATTTCATTGCAGTTGCATTAACTCAGAGAGATGTGAAAGCAAGAACAGCATTCACAGAAGGCTATTTCCTTCTATTCAGTGTGCTACCATTTTCACTTTGTAGTCTCAAAATAAGAGAGATTTGGGTAATAAAAATTACTTTTTATTTGTGTCTAGTATTTACATACTGTTTTATCAATCTTGAAGGATTTTGTAATAGCAAAGATTACTTTTCCTTAGGAAATTAGGGAAAGTGTGAATAAGTTTGGAAAAATTTATAAATTAAAAAAAAACTAAAAGAGTTTAGTTATATGTGCAATTTGTTTTTCATACTCCCTGTTTCTGGGATATCATGTTTTCATACTGATAATTATAAGAAGCAAGATACATTTTAAATATTTTATGATTTCTCTTTATATTGATATCCATTAATAGGTTGAATCATTTATGGATATTAACTAACAACAATCTATTGACAACATTTTATTTTCACATAGGCTTCTGTTAGCAATATTATACTCTAGATTATTTTTAAACTTTTAATAATTATGGGATCATTTGAGATTAAAAATAACAAGTTTCTGGGCTTGAACATAAGAGATTTTTACTAATCACCTCTTACACTTCTTGGAATCCCGAATGTTAACCAATATGCAATGCTAGCCCTCAGTTCTTTTGCAGGTGGTACATGGGGTATGCTTTAGGAAACATTGTGGTAGAATTGTGTTATAATTGAAAAGAATGCAAGGAGTTTAAATATTTGCTGTAGGTAATTTTTTAAAACCACGATGTATGTATTTTCATAAGTTTAGAATCAATATTTGGTTTTTGAATACTTTTAAAAGTATCTCAGTGTTTGAGTTAGTATCACTTTTACTTCACATTTGTTTACGTATTTTAAGCATTTTGAGCTAAATTGAGCCTTTTGAGCTAAATGAATAGGATCCAGCCTCTCCAATCATAGATTTCATTCTTTCCATATTTTCCTGTAATCATGGCTATGATTACTTGGAGTATAAATGATTTTTGCAGAAATATTGAAAATTTTTCCATTTTGCATATAGATCAGACTCAGAATACATGCTTTAGACACTTAGAGGAGTTAATAGAAACAAATTCACATACTCGTAAAGATACACACTCATCTCTTAATCCTGCTGTGTACTTATAGGCTGCCATTTAGATTTTCTTTTGGACATAAATTATCCTGTTGCTGGATTTTAATGCAAAATATATTTCTCTTACTCTAGCAATGAGTGATCAGGAAGTGATTTATTCAACTGTGAGAGTACTTCAGTCTCTATCAGGATCACAAAATCACAGGTTAAGTCCTGATGGTGCTCAGAGGCCTGGGAAAGCTGGTGACAAAGGTATTTATTTTAAGTAGGTTCACCTGTTCTCATATGGCTTGTCAGCACTTGATGTTTGAAATAAAAGTTCACATTTTGCATATAGATCAACTCAGAATACATGCTTTAGACACTTAGAGGAGTTAACAGAAACAAATTCACATACTCGTAAAGATATACACTCATCTCTTAATCCTGCTGTGTACTTATAGGCTGCCATTTAGATTTTCTTTTGGACATAAATTATCCTGTTGCTGGATTTTAATGCAAAATATATTTCTCTTACTCTAGAAATGAGTGATCAGGAAATGATTTATTCAACTGTGAGAGTACTTCAGTCTCCGTCAGGATCACAGAATCACAGACTAAGTCCTGATGGTGCTCAGAGGCCTGGGAAAGCTGGTGACAAAGGTATTTATTTTAAGTAGGTTCACCTGTCTTGTATGGCTTGTCAGCACTTGATGTTTGAAATAAAAGTTCACATTTGTACTTCAGGTTATCAGGTGGTAATCTGATACCAGGGTGGGGCAGAATATTAGAACAAGCCCATTTTTTGAAGTTTGTGAGAATGGAGAAGAGAATGAATTCTTATAAATTTGAGAAGCTGGGCATCCCTGGTGGTGCAAGGGGTTAAGTTTCAGCACTATCAGCCTACTGGCAGCCATGGCAGAATGAGTTCAATCCCTGGCCAAAGAGGTAACCCACATGGAACAGCAGACCTCTCCTGTCTCTCCTGCTGCTCCCCTCAGCAGTGTATTTCAGTACATCTGCCTATTCTGCTACCCACGCTGTCTCTGGTGAATCACCTCACCCCCTGCACCTCTGGCCTTCACCCCGTTCTTGTATGCGTAAATAAATAAAATAAATCTTTAAATTTTAAAAGCTATTACAATATTTTCATTCAGATTTGGTTAAAAGGAGCTCATGGAGCCTTTAAAAGGAAAGGACCACCTGTAATCTCAAGAAAAAATACATTTATTACAGAATTCAATTTTAGAGAATATTTAAGAAATGAAAAATCTATGTTAAAAACAATGTTTTTATTCAGACAAAAGATTTTTTTTAGATGTCTCAAGCATTTACCAGTGTTTAATGGCAGCGAGGTAGCAAAGTTATTCAAATCAAAGGGACATTCTAATTTTTTCCTGTTCTTTTTCCATCTTCAAATATTGTCAAAAACTCTAAATTGAGAATAACATACTGTTTTAATTTAGTGATAATCGGAGATGCAACTTACAGTGTTAAGGACTATAAAAGTAGGAGGATAAATACAGCTTTGTCCAGAGAAAAACAGAATTAATGAAAAGGGAGGAAAAGTTGATTTCTAGAAAATACATTAAGGAGTGATCTTAATCACATTTGTAGCTTCAGAATATCCACTATTGGCTACCAGTTTCTCACCAATACTGACTGCTTTTTCCTTCCTCTTCATGATTAGTAGCGATCACAGCAAGATGTTCATGTCAGTATGGATTTCCATAAATATGTATTGTGTCTGTTGCCATCTGTGCTTTTGTAGGAGAGATACTTTTAAATCCTATAGAGCTATTCTTTGTGTAGGATTTTAAAAATAGATGTATTTCAGTCAGAAATCTGAAACTTTCAGAGAGTAATCACTGGATTACAAATTTAAATCTATTACTATAATATATTTTCATAAAAATTTTAGAGATTATTCCTTTGTTTCACATGTTGTCCTAGGTTGGTAGTAGGCCAGGGTCTACGCTGGATGCTTATTTTCTTCCTTCTTTATTTAAAGAGTGTTCAGTGTCCTGGCATCTTACTGCAGTAACTCTTGGGCTCCTTTGTTTACTTCTGTTGATGACAGTCATGGTGCTGGGGACCAAGGGTAAGTAATTGAAATACATCCTAAGCAATGACCAGTAATTTTGCAGATATTAACCATGGTTCCCTGGAGATGCTCAGGGAGTGTCCCAGGTGACTTGGTGATTTTGCCCCTGATATTGTCATTTTCATTTTACTTACCTCTGTGGTTATGACCAGCACCATTGTGTGTAATTCATGGTAGCAATCCTTCTGACATGGAACTAAAATTTTCTACCTTCTGAGTTTAGATAATTTGTGAATCTCAGATGTAAACATTCTTTGAGAAACAGCATTTCAAAAGAAATATGTCTTTCCTTTGATTTTTTAAAAAAAGTATGTAATGATGAAATGGTTTAATAGAAAAGAGGGATTCTATACATGGATATTAGATGATTTTGAATTCAACCTTTATTTTTATTTGAATTCTTTGACATCTGTAATATATTACACTCCGATAAAATTATATATTTGGATCATCCTGTCTTTTTTCCTGTGGGTATTCCATTTACTGCACTAATAATTGTGCTGTTTCTTCATATTTCTTAGTGTAGATTTGACTCAGAAAATGTGTTGCTAAATGTTGACTAACTGATATTTACAAATAGATATTTGTAAATGCCGTGCTGTTAAAAAGAAAAAAAACCATACCAAATGGTAAGGGTTTTCTATAATAATTTTATTCAGATATCTTATTTTTTTTATCCTAAATTAATTTGCTAATGGTGAGAAATTTAGTGTTTCCATTTCTATGATTAATCTGTTAAGGTGTTACTTTCTAAATGTCAAATTACTAATTGAAGTAATGAAATGGGTTGGTTGTCAAAGTGAAGCTTTTTCTTGCCTTCAACATGAACATTTTAGTAATATGAATACATTTTTGGCATTATATCTATGTTATCAATTTTAGTTTTTCAGTATATTCAAGAAAAACATCAATGGGAAGAAATTCGACGAAACCTAAGTCTAAAGTATGACCTTATGAAAAATGACAGCTACTTAAAGGAGCAACATTTGACAAATAAGACTTTAGAATATGAAATTCTGAAAAATGAAACCCTTCATCAGAAAAAGAAATTGGAATTATGCTTTATAGAAAATAAGCTATGTCATGGAAAAAGGAATCCTTCAGAGTCTTTGCAAAATACAGGTATGAAGGAAATTTTTAATCAACGGTTACATGATTTTTCATTATTTCTTCCTTCTTTAGAATCTTTGAAGCCTAATATTGGCTTATAATATATGCTAGTGATCTTGGCTACAGGACAACTTTTAATATGTGCCTCTTTGATGTGACATGGATATTTGGGTTTGCTTGTTTAACATGTGAGACTGAGACCCTAGGGTCATGTGTGCATTAGTGGAGCTCTATGTTTTCCCCCCAAATCAGTGGTAGTTCTTGCATTCTTACTATTCCCATAAGGTGAATTAATGTCAGCTTCCTTGAAAATATGGGTCATTTTGGATCGGGGCAAATTAGACACTTGCACTCTGGTACTGGCATGAAATATTTAGGTGATCAGTAAAAATATACATAGGCTAGCATGGGCACTGCCCTTTTGCATGGACGCTGGTCTAAAGATCATTGTATCTATGTGTGTGAGACTTTTTCTCTGGTCTTAAATTTCAACTTTTAAGCTTTATGAGTACTTTTTAAAGTGGTATATCTATGCTGTTTCCATTCTGTTTTGATGTAAGATACTTGTCTGTTGTGATCACTATAGACTCGCTGCAGTACATCTGCAAGGTCTACTGTGATGATACCAATTAAAATATCCAAGAGATAAGAATACTAAATCTCATACAATAAAATCTGTTATCATGTATAACAATGGAATAACTTACCAGGTTCATTAACAACTACTAAGTGTTTTCTTAGGATTCAGAGTTTACAAATTTTTTTTGCATATTCAGTATCATTTAGGTATTGGTATACATTTCTATTTTTTTCTATTATTAAAAAACATGGCATACTTGGGCCTCCCTGGTGGCACAAAGGGTTAAGACACAACCTATGAAGCTGTCCGCAGCCTCTGCAGCACAAGTTTGATCCCTGGCTGGCCAGGGAGCAACCCACATGGCACAGCAGATCTTTCCTGACTCACCCGCTGCTCCCCTCAGGAGTGTACTTCGGTCAGTCTGCCTGTCTGCCTGTTCAGTTCCCCACTTTGTCTCTGGTGAATCCTTTTACCCCCTGCACCTCTGGCCTGTACCCCTGCTCTTATATGCATAAATAAATGAATCTTAAAAAAAAAAAAAAGCATACCATAAAAGATATCAGGAAAAAAAACTTCCAAAGAAGAATATTTTTTTTTATTTAGACTATATTCTGGAATTAAAAAAAATATTATTTTAAAAGCCGCTTTATTGTAGTATTTATATGAAAAAGCAACACATTTATTGTATACAATTTGATATTTGGACATAAGCATATATCCATAAAACCATCCATAGTTAGGCTAACAGACATAACCATCACCTGCAAAAGTTTCCTCAAGTCCTATTTTTGTTGTGGTAATTACACTTGACATGAGATCTACCCTTTCAATAAGTTTCTAAAGTGCACAATTCAATATCGTTAGCTATATAGCCTCTGTGTTATACTGCAGATCTCTAGAACATAATAATATGGTGTCACGTAATCTGTATAGCATTTGGACAACTGAATTCCTTCCCCTGGCAACCCTGGTAACCACCATTCTACTTTCTGTTTCATTGAGTGTGACTATTTTTCATATCTCATATATGTGGAATCCTGCTGTATTAATCCTTCTGTGACTGGTTTATTTAACTAAATGTACTGTCTTCAAGGTTTATCTATGTCATGGCAGATGGCAGATTTCCTTCTTTTTAAGACTGAATAATACCCCATTATATATATATATAGATATATATATATATATCACATCTTCTCTATTAGTTCATCTGTTGATAGATACTTGAGTTGTTTCAATATCTTGGCTTTTGTGAATAATGTTACAGTGAAGATGGGGGTGCAGGTATCACTTAACATTCTAGATTCTTGATGTGAACCTTGTGTTATCATTATTGGTAGCTGTAAAGATTTTACTTAGTTATTCTGTTTAACAGGGTACCAGATGAGAAGTTGAATGTTTTGCCTTTTTATGTTGTAGGGCGCTGGTCTTGTTATGGAATTAGCTGTTACTATTTTACCAATGAGAGTGAAACCTGGAGAAAGTGTAAACAGACTTGTCAAAATTATGGATCATCTCTTTTGAAGATAGATGATGATGATGAACTGGTATCATGACTATTATGTTCATTTTTATTCTATTAAACTCTCTACCATCTTTGGATTCAAGGTATTGAGGATCGAGGTGGGGGTGGAGGAGTCCAGAAAGAGGGACCTTCAATTATTTTTTGTATCATGTCTGTTGAGTGAACAAGACTTTTATAGTTAAGAGTCTCCCAGGAAATTCCTGCCTGTTAGTAGGAATATATTCTTGCTACTTCCTGACCATTCAAAACCTACTTATTTATCATGATGATCATTATTAGTTCAAAATGGAAATCTCCTTGAAGATACAGTTTGGTTCTTGTAATCATCTCCCTTTCTACGAAGTCTGTAGGAGAACCACTCACAGAGAAATACGACTTTCTTTTGGAAATACTTAATGCTTTGGTGAATTGCAGCCTGAAACCAGCATTCCTTCCTAGGGTGGCATCTCAGGACCTTGAGGCAACATAGTTTAGTAAATACTATTAGGAATCTAGGAATCAGACTGCCTGGGATCAAATCACTTTTGCCACTTATTAGCTGTGTGAACATGGATAAGTTATTTCTCTTTCTAGGCCTCAGTTTCCTCATCTGAAAATGGAAATAATAATGGAACATAAAATCAATAACAGTTTTACCAACTGGCTAAATGGTGATTTGCATTGCATCCGTAGGTAACAATACATCATCAAAAATTTTATATGCTATATTAAGATATTACCTATCTTTTAAAACGAAGTTTAAAAACTGAAAATACAGTGACAATATCAAAATTATTTTTATTACTTAAAAAAAATACATACAACATACACGCAAACACAATGTGTTTTTACACAGAAATGGTTGCAAAACTCAGCCTGAAACATCTATTTATCAGTTAGGAAAACAACACAAAATTTATATGCAAATCTAATAGATGTTTTATATCACAACATAAAACAATATACGTTGTTTTAATAAAACAGCTAAATCTAAACCTGTATTTTAAAATGCATTCCATCGTTTAATCAAACATTATGTAAAATGTCCTTTGACCTATTACATTTTAGACATAGTAGGTTTTTCCAAATGCTACTACTTTTCTCTTCATCCCTTTCAGCTGCTGAACTGCAGCAAGACTTTCTCTAATAGGTGTAGACTCTACTGTATACCTCCCTTTGTTATTTAAATTTGTTTTGAAGACTCCTTTTTTCACTTAAGAATATGTAATGATAATTTTTCTATGTGTTTAAATATTTTTCTGAAGCATGACTTTGAATGGTTTCCTAAAGTGTCAAATTATTTCACAGATTTATTGTTAGATACTTTAAAATTTTTTCATGTTTTAAATAATCTATATGGCGGGCAGTCATTTTCAACATGAATAAATGATCAAGGAGAATGCAGATGCAGGGGTTGAGGGAAAAGGGTTTATAGGACAGGGGGATGAAGGAAGATGTGGCGAGTAGAAGAGGCTGGTCATAGAAACTGCTGGCCCCTTCCCCTGTGCTCTTCATTCATTTAACAGATGGGACTTTAGTCACGTATGCTTTGTTTCCTTTGTAGGCCTTTATTCGATCCCACATTTCTACAGGTATTTCCTGGATTGAATTACCATATAATTCTCAGGAACATAAATGGAAACGGACTGACAATGACACACCTTCTGAACTGTAAGTCTCTGGAGTGTTTTCAAACACACTGGTGTTGGGGTTGGAAAGATTGTATCTGAAAAGCCTCTTATTTAAAATAGCTTAACTCATTTTGAAACATCTATTTATCAGTTAGGAAAACAATAGAAAATTTATATGCAAATCTATTGTTTTATATCACAACATAAAAGAATTTGTGTTATTGTAATAAAACAGTTAAACTGATATTTTAAAATACATTCCATTGTTTAATCAAACATTAGGAAGCACTATAATTAAGAAGGAAAAGAAGTATTATACAAAGTTGATAATATAAAATTGTGATGCTTAACCCATGCTCAGAAGTATGTTTTATGAAGTTCATAAAATGAAACAAAAATCATGATATGAAGCAATTGGATCATCTTGACTTTACTATAGTAAGCCACAAATGAGAATTTTGAACATTCCAAAAATTACTTTGTGTAGTATATAATATTTTAAAGTATAAATACATGTGAGCCCACACACATGTACACATATATCTTCCTTCACGTTAGTCCTATTTTGAAGCATAATATTTTGTAAACTCTTGGCTTGCATTTATTATAATATGCTGTTAAACTATTTAATGACTGTTTAAAAATCTTAACCATTATATTTCTATGAATTTTGTTTTGCATTTTCAAATATCTTTCCTAGTTAATCATATTTTGAGATGTCTTTTATTTCTATAAAATGTTTTGTAATTGATATCTGATAATTTTATTATTTGAAGTTTTGTGGGTTTAATCTATTGTTTCTGCTGGCTTTTGTTCACGATGCCATTTTCTTTGTAGTGTTTAGTGATAGTTTTTTCTTTTTGAGCTGGTGTTGAAATTGAGGACTGATGAGGGTGACTTCCTCAAGAATCTGCTTTTGTTGGATTCCTTAGGACACTTTATTTATTTTTAAAAGATTTATTCATTTATGCATACAAGAGCTGGGGTACAGGCCAGAGATGCAGGGGATGAGAGGATCCACGAGAGACAGAGTGGGGAACAGAACAGGCAGACTGACTGAAATACACTGCTGAGGGGAGCAGCAGGCGAGCCAGGAGAGGTCTGCTGCGCCATGTGGGTTGCTCCCTGACTGGCCGGGGGATCGAACTCATGCTGCAGAGGCTGTGGATTGCTCTATAGTGCGGTGCTTAACCCCTTGAGCCACCGGAGAGGCCCGCCTTAGGACACTTTAAATTCTAAATTTGGTCCTTCAAGTTCTGGGTTGCAAACTTCTACAAGTTGTCATGCAGGAAATGACCTAGAGTAATTGTAGCCTACAAGTATACCATAGGCAGATTATCCCAGATGTCATAGTATGAATTGCAGGCTGAATTTAGATGCTCAAATTGCATTGTTAATTAAATCAGTTTTAAACACATAGCACTATGCAAGAGGAAAGAAATGAAGTAGCTCATCACACTTGGATGGGATGGGGTAAATAAACTGTTACACTTGGGGTAAGGTAAAGTGGGTAAAGGGTCACTTGAATCTTGGATTACTAAATCTTCATATGGCCTGGTCTGCTGCATAACCCTTCCCTGACGATGAGTTAGTTCTTGGGACCAAACTTGAGTAAATGGACCCAAAAGACAGAGGTTCATGTGTCTGTACGCACATTTTCTCTATTTGGGAAAGGTAGGAGCATTTAAACCTGGTCACAGTGAGCAGCTGTGGATCTGACTGGTGTTTCTTGTGCAGAGACCTCCAGAATGTTGAGTGCACACATAATGTATATTTTGAGTATGGCATTTAGTGCCTCTCGGTTCTTTTTCCCTTTCCGGTGTTCAGAATACATATGCTCTCCTTAACTGCATCTTTACCTAACACCTCTCCTAGGTTACACACATAAATTTTCTGCCTAAGGCTTACAAGCTATTTGGTTTAACATATTTCCCTTATTTGTTTATTTCTTTTTTTTCATAGTAGATTTAAATATTCCTAAATATTCTGCAAATGCAAATTACTTGAGGGATGATTTGTATTTTTGTATTCTTCAGTGGGATTATTCTTTTTCTCTCTTGCTTAAACTCAAAGTTCAAGACACTTCTGGTGGGTCCTACTGAAGATGCATCCCTTTGCCCTCAACCTTGTGTCTCTTGGCTCCTATTTAGAATCCCAGTCTTGGGTAGAATTCCTTACTCAGCCAATGATCGCAATTAAGAAAGAAACTGACATTTGTGCTTCACTTAATCTTCTAGGTTGCCCTTTTCCTTAACCCTCTCTATGAATAAGATCTGCTTCTTGCCATTTTGCAAATTTATTCAGGAAGATTTGAAATCTTTTTAAAACCAGCATTAAATTTGTTTTCTATGGGGCCTCCCTGGTGTAACAGGGCTTAAAATCTCAGTGCTATCAAGCTATATTGCCAGCCAGTGAGGCAAGAGTTTGATCCCCAGCCAGGAAGTTAACCCACATAGCACATCAAACCTCTCCTGTCTCACCTACTGCTTGTCTCAGCAGTGTATTTCAGTATTTTTCTCTGTTCTGTTCCCCACTCTGTCTCTAGTGAATCCTCTTAGCTCCCACACCTCTGGCCTATACTCTACTTTGTCTGCACAAAAATAAATAAAAAATAAATCTAAATAAATAAAAAATAAATCTTAGAAAAAAAATTGTTTTCTGGGGCCTTCCTGTGGGTACAAGGGGTTAAGTGTCAGCACTATGAAGCTATCAGCAGCCACTGCAGCACGAGTTCGATCCCTGGCCAGGGAGTTAACCCACATGGTGTATAGACCTCTCTTGTCTCGCCCACTGCTCCCCTCAGCAGTGTATTTCAATCAGTCTGCCTATTCTGCTCTCCAATCTGTCTTTGGTGAATCCTCTCATCCCCTGTATCTCTGGCCTGTACCCCAGCTCTTGTATGCATAAATAAATAAATCTTTAAAAAATTGTTTTCTTTAGGAAATAATTCTGGCACCTAATCTACTACTTTGATGAAATGGAAGTACTGCTTATAGATATTTTTTAATGGATTGTTTTATTTTAGTTAATAACTACTATTTTTGGGTGGGGAAGGAAAGGAAACAAAATAAAAGTATCAATTAGGCAACCTCACTTTAGACTATATTACAATTATGCTTTTTTCTGTTAAGGTATATGCATACAAACTAGTTCTCTGCCATAGACATATAGTTTCTTTTCCTTTTTAAATCTCTCACTTTTTGTGAAAAAAAAAATACAAGAAAACACTTACCTGTATCATGATCTCATAGCAATACTAAAATTAATTTTGCCTTTGACCAAAATTCCCAATGTGGAATAAAAGAGGTGAAAGTGAATTTGATCAAAAGGTTATAATTCTATTTAATGGACTAGCACAAAAGAAAATCTTTATATTAATGTTATTAATATCAACATTTCCATATTCCAGACTGTTAGGCAACAGACTTAAAAAATTAATTACAATTATAATGTAAGCTTCAGAATTAAACAGTTGACCATGTATGTTTTCTATTCTACAGTCATTTTACAATATTGACTTCATCTTCTGGGATAGGAAAATGTGCATTTTTGACTTCAACAAGAATAGATGCTATTGAGTGCTCTAACACCTACAGTTGTGTCTGTGAGAAGATGATGATTTCTCTGCTTCAAGAAAGTACCACGAGAAAAAGGTGAAAATGGAATTTTGTCACTTTTTTGTTTCCCTGGTCTAGCTTGTGGTCACTTACCAGTGAATGTTTTTCACTGCAGGACTAAGTCCATTGTAGAAATAGATGGGCTGGAAGAGTAAGGAAATGCTCTTTGAAACTGTGATTTAAGAGATTAGATGTTACCTGTCTTCTTGGGAAGAAGAAGACTTTGTCTTTGGAGAGCAGTCACCCTTCTCTTTCCCTGAACCATCCCCAACGCAATAACACTGATAAATAGCTTAGGTCTTTTTCTTACCGGTAGGATAAATTATGTTAATATCTTCTGACTCTTAGAACTAAAAAAAAATAACAGTTATATTCCCCTTTTCCCATTTAAGTGTTTACCTCTCATCTTTAAAATCATGATTTTGCATGGTATTAAACTTACTGAGTAGTTGATACAACAGTTCAAGGAACGTTCTCTCATGTCATCTTTACCTACACTTGCAGTTTGTTTATATTTTGCTCTATACTATCCTTCTTGCTGATCCATTCGATAATAAATTGGGACCATTATGTCCCTTTGTGTAAATAATTTACAAGAAGTAGATCTTTGTCTTGCTTAAACAAGGTACAGCGATCAAAATGAAGACATTTAGGTTTTATCTGGTGCTGTGATATCACATACAGTCCACATTCAAATTTTGTTAGCTGTCACATGATGTCTTATAGGTGTTTTCTCCACTTTTAGGATCATGCACTGCATTTATTTGTGATACCTGTTTATAGTCTCCTTTAATTTGATCATAACATTTTAAAATTTGCCTTTATTGAATTATGCTTTGCATGCAATAAAATGCATCTTTTTAAAAGATAAACACATGCAATTTGCAGCAACATGGATGGCGCTGGAAGGGATCATGCTCAGCGAAATAAGCCAGAAAGAAAAAGAAAAATACTGGATGGTCTCACTCATAGCAGGAATCTAGAAAACTTAAATAAGGGACCAGGAAAATGAATAACTGTAAGAAAGTGAAAATCAAAATCAACAAAAAACTATGAACCAGAGACACTTTTAGGGGGGCGGGGGCTGGAGGGGAGGGATTGGGATCAGAATGGGGGGGGGCTGCAATTGTATGGGGAATATAAAAATAAAATTTATTATTAAAAAAAATAAAATGCATCTTTTTAAGTCATGAAGTCGATTGTTTTTTTTTTTAAGATTTATTTATACAAGCACTGGGTACAGTCAGAAGCGCAGGAGGGTGAGAGAATTCACCAGAGCCAGAGTGGGGAGCAGCGGGAGGCAAGAGAGGTCTGCACGCCATGTGGGACCCTCCTCTGGTGGTCAGGGAGCAGCCGGGGATCGAACTGGCGCTGCAGAGGCCGCAGGCAGCTTCACAACCCAGCGCTCAACCGATACGCCACCGGGGAGGCCCTGAAGTCAATTGGTTTTTAACAAATGTATTGACCTCTTAAACACCAGCACATAAAGGCTTAGGCCGTTTCGAAAACTTCCTTTCTGTCCTTCTCCACCCACCTGGACCCAGACAGCCAGTGATATTTTTTCTGTCCCTTTGAATGAGTTTTACCCATTCCAGGGTTTTATACCTCTTATGCTTTTTGTTTCAGCTTCATTTTCTCAGCATAGTTTTGAAATTAATTCATGGTTTTTCATATCTCACTAATTCATTCTTTTTGTTATTGAATAGTATTCCGTTGCTCAGGTATATTATGATTTGTCCATTCACCTTTAGATATTTGATATGTTTCCAGTTTTTGGCTGTTATAATAAACCTGCCATAAACATTTGTGTACACATATCTGTGTGGATGTGTGTTTTCATTTCTTTTTATTAAAAAGCTAAGAGCTTGATTGCTGACATCTATGGTAAGTGCCAATTTAATTTTATGAGAAACTTTTAGATTGTTTTCCAATCTGGTTGATCATTTTACTTTCCCAGTAAGAGCATATGAGTTTCAGTTGCTGCACCTTATTATTATTATTTTTTTAAAGATTTATTTATTTATTTATTTATTTATTTATTTATTTATTTATTTATTTATTTATTTATGTATGTATGTATACAAGCCACTGGGTACAGTCAGAAGCGTGGGAGGGTCAGAGAATTCACCAGAGCCAGAGCAGGGAACAGAACAGGCAGACTGACGAAATATACTGCTGAGGGGAGCAGTGGGTGGCAGGAGAGGTCTGCGCACCATGTGGAACCCTCGCCGGCAGCCAGGGATTGAACTGGCGCTGCAGAGGCTGCAGGCTCAACCGCTCAACCACTGCGCCACCAGGGGAGGCCCAGCTGCACCTTATTGTCGGTACTTAATTTTGTCAATCTTTTTAATTTTAGCCATTTTATTGACTGTGTCGTATTATCTCATTTTAAATTTGCATTTCCCTGAAGACTTGTGACATTGAGTATCTTTTCATTTGTTTTTTGAGCCATTTGTATATTTTCTTTCATGAAATGTCTGTTTAATCTTTTGCCTACTAATCTTTTGGGTTTTTCTATTTTCTTATGGAGTTGAAATAGTTCTTTATATAACTTTGATATGAATATTTTGTTGTTAATACATACATAAATACACACACACACACCCCTCAAATATTGTCTTCCAGTCTCTTTTGTGCCTTTTCATTTTTTTTGTATTTTCATTTTCTTAGTAGTGTCTTTCAAAAAGCAAAATTTAGAATTTGCATGAAGCCAAATTTATCTTTTCTTTGGTGCTTTGCTTTTTATGGTATATCTAAGAAATCGTTGCTTACATTAAAACTACAGAGATTTTCCCCTCTGTGCTAGAAGTTATTATAATTTAAATTGTTCAGCATATATATATGTTAAATTGTTCAGCATAATATATATGTGTTCAGCATATAACCATTTCAAGTTAATTTTATGTATAATTTAAGAGTTGAGGCTCACTGTTATATGTAGATATCTAGTTGTTTTTGAACTATTTGTTGAAGAGATTTTCCTTTCTTCCACTGGATCACTTTGATGTCTTTGTAAAAGAAAATTCATTGGACATATCTGTTTTTGGATTCTCTGTTTTAACTCTGTATTGTGTCTATTGTTTATTCTTGGAGTAATTCCATATCGTCTCAGTTACTGTAATCCTTGGAATTTGGGAAAATTCCTGTCTTAACGATACTGAGATTTTGAATTCATGCACATGATTTATGTCTCTAGTTAGTTAGATCTTTAATTTCTCCCAACAATCTGATACATTTCATGATATAGGTCCTAGCCATATTTTGATAAATTTATGTTTTTATGCTATTATAAATGCCATTAAAGATTTTTCAAATTATTTGTTTATAGATGTGAAATTGAATTTGTAAATTGACCTCATATTCTATCACCTTGTTCAGTTTACTTATTTCCAGTAGGTTTTTTAGTATTTGTAGATTCCTTAGGATTGTTCCTTTTTATATATATAGTCATGTCCTGTGAGAATAGAGAAAGTCTTCTTTCTTTCTGTCATTTTTCCTCTGCCTTTGTGGTACCGGCTAGGCCCAGTGATACAACGTTGAGAAAAGTGATGATATCAAGCATCCCTGTCTTGTTTCCCGATCTTACAAAGAAATGTGTTTTACATGTAAGGTCAGCCGTAGGTTATTTTTGTAGATCCTGTTTATCATGCTGAGGAAATTTCCTTCTCCTCTTGTCTATTGAGAGTTTTATCATGATTGAGAGTTTGATTATGTTATATAATTTTTTTTGTAGCTGTTGAGATCATTATATAGATTTCTTTTAGTGACTAATGTGGTGAATTGTGTTAATGGGCTTTTGAATGTTGAACAAAACTTTCATGTTACTTTGTCAATAATGGATAAATAGTTTAATTTGAGGGGGGCAAACCATAGATGTGAAATCAAAATATTATCATTTTGAAGAGGCCTTCCTCCTGTGTTCAGAAGAAAATGAAAATAACATGATAATGCATAAAAGCATAGCTGTCAGGAAAAAGGCAAGCTGAGAAGCTGTGGCTTTGATGGGGAGATGTAGACCTCTTTCTTGTTTTGAGCCTTAAACCATCTTATTTCAGAGCATAACACACCCTCCTCTGGATTCTGTAGCGCCAGATTTGAAGAACAGAATTTATAGCTACACGATTTGAACTTTTATGTAGAGGTCCTCCCTCCCTTTTCCCCATCTTTTATCAATGTTCCTCTACTTTGCAGAAATGACTAAGGATATATACACAGAGGTGAAAGCTCATGACAATAGGAAGAAAATACAATCCAGAATTTCTGACAGGAAATAGGATTATGGTAAGCATCTATTTTTGCAGATCAGAAAAACCTTAGTTTTGAACAGGATCTTCTATGTCCGACAAGCCAATGAATTTATGAATTTCTCTTTGTGCTTCCCTCTCAAGTGATTCTCTACCATGCTTGAACATGGCCTGGAAAATGTGATTCTTTCCCCCAACTCCTTCACCCGCGAGGTAGTCAATTACATACTAACTACTTTAGAATATTTCTCTTTATTCTGAATAAAGATATTTTCTTTGCTTCTCATATGCACAAACACTATTTATACCTTTTTAATGATGAAAAAGATTAATTCTGAGGACATGCTAATGACTTCTGAGACTGGGTCCAACTACTGAGAGCAGCAGGTTGTCATCTCTGCCTATATCTGTGAGATAATTATAGTGCAGAAGATACAGGAAGAGCATCTTGTTTTATTTGACATAGTGTCAATGTAGGTTTCCTATTGTAGCGTCTTCGTTATTTTTGGAGCTAAATATTTACGTCAGGATATTGTGTGTCAGCATTACCCAGTAATGTTTTGGCCCAAACCTGCCATTTTAGTGATTGTCTTTCTGATTATTGATTCTCAATAATCCTTGCTGGGCATTGTTTCCTCCATCAACAGCTGGCCAGATGAGTGGAAGAGCTATAAGAAATAATTTGGTTTTAATGACTTTTGGAGAGCCACTGGAAACTCTTTGTATGTAAAAAGTCTGATTTGTATTTATTTGTGCTCTTTTAGTTAGAGCAACTATTAAAATAAAAGAAAATAAAAGCACATGCTGATATTTGTTGACGAAGAC